AAGTAAATAAAACTACTTTTTATATTAAAGAAACCATATAATCTATTTCTCTCCAATTAAAAGTATACTAAGAAATGTTTCTTTAATTCACGTTCAGTAATAAAATAATAAAATCAGTACTAAAATAAGTATTAATGCTTTTTTGGCACTTATAGTTTGAAGCAACTTCTGAGGTTAATAAAGAAAACCAAATGAGTACTTTAAAGAAAGTTCACCTGCCCAGAATCAGAGCCATGCTATCAGATTTTAATATCTGAAAGTGATCTCATGATTGTTTTTTTTATTATATTTCAAATCCTTATTTATGTAGTAATTGCGCCCGATTACTGACTCGCCCCAAAACGATATGGATCTGTGTTGTTCAGATGCACGTAGTTTCAATTGGGAACATTTTAAAAGTATGCATTGTAAAATGTAACATCTTCATGTTATTTAAATCATATAAAAGACATAATTAACTTCGAATAACATAGAAATAATAAATAAGCCACGTAACTAGAACTTTGGATATCTTATTTCGAGTATCTGGAACTTATATTAACTTATATTAAAAGGATTTATATTAAACGACTAAAATAGCAAGAATGCGTGTATCTCATGTTACCTCATCTATACTTTAAAGCATATTTTTCGAATCCTCATCTTTGCTCTGTAAAATTATATTAAAATACACTGCTGGCCATTGAAATTGCAACGCCATGAAGGAAAGCAAATACAAAAAAGATATTTATTGCTCGTAAACAGTATGGCATGAAGACAAAATCATTAAATTTGTAAGCATTTTGGAGGTTTACAGGGGGTGCAAAATTAGTAAAAACAGCTACCACCCGGCAGCTAAAACGGTCCTTACCTCATTAGGCATGAAGTCAAACTGGGCTTGGATGACAGAAATGGGCAACTCATTCTATGCCGCTTCAAGTCTATGCCACACTTCATCAAACGTATTAGCTGGAGAAGTGTGGCTGGACAGTCTCTCAGCAACCCATGATCAGATGTTTTCAATGGGTGACAGATCTGGAGACCGTGCAGGGCCAGGGCAACAATCGAATACCCTGTGTATCGAGAAAGGTGAGAACACGACGTGCAATTTATGGTCTTGCATTATCTTGTTGGAACATGGCGCTTGGAGGCCTCGAAGATAGGGCACAGCTACTGGACGTAAGATGTCACAAACATACCCATCTGTGTTCAAATTACCGTCGATCTGAAGTAGAGATGTGCGTGTTGTGTACCCAACGGCTGCCCAAATCATCCCGCGAGGTGCATGGTCCCTACGCCGATATCGAATGCAAGCAGGAGACGTGCGGTCTCCTCGGAACACTCCAGACACGTATACGGCCATCAGAATACTGCACGTAGAACGGTATTCGTTTAAAAAGGCGACAGTGTGCCACTCCTGTACCCAGCTTTGTCGTTTAACGCGTAGAGTCATCGTCTCTCTCTATGCTGCATTGTCAAGGGAAGACGAAGTAATGGTCACTCTGGCTGATAGTCCACACTGCTGCAAACGTCGACGTACCTTACGAGCTAATACTGGGCGTGCTGTAAACATGCCCATTTCCTGACTAATGATCCATGATGTGGTCGTACGGATTTTCAGGGCAGATCTCACAATATGTCTGCCCTCTCTGGCGTTAGTCATGGGAGGGCGTTGAGATCCTGCATGCCTCAGTATGACCCTTGATTCCATATTCGCATGAGAGTGGTTAAATGTCAACCTGCGACCGGCGGTATCAAGGACGACAATCTACACTTTCGTTAGGCAATGATCCTGCCTCTATCAAATTTAGAAACTTGCTGGTAAGCATTTCCTCTTCTTATTAGAGGCATAACACGATATTCTGAGCAAACTCTAAACTTACAAAGCACCTTCGGAATGAGAAATCCACTACACGACTTTTCTTTTATGCACTGCTTCCGATCATCTGCATATTCAAAGTTCTTTCTTTCATCTGATTTTGACGTTCATCAGATCATTCCTTCCTGTTGTTGCAATTTTAATGGCCAGCAGTGTAATTAAAAACGCGCAAGTTAAAAAAAGGCTTCTGATTTCTTTCTACATTTTCAGAAATTTCTGCATAGGAAAGAATATTCCTCGAGCTTCTACAAAGTTCATCCTTCTCTAGTATTTTTCTTGAAGTTAATCATTTTGTTCTTAATGCGTTTTTAATAATTACTTTTAAATTTCGCTTTAATTATTGTATTTTAATTAGTTTAAAGGGACGTTAGCCCAGAAGGTCTTCTTAGTCTCGAAACGGCATATTGCGTCTGTTCACTAAAGTGTCCTTTTCACTTTTCAAATTGTTGCCATCAAATATTATCGTCCTGTATTATACTTAAAGAAGTTAAACAATGATCTGTCTGATTGGAGAATCTGCATGACTGTATGTATGTTTCACGCTTCACGCATAGTAAAAAAAAAAAAAAAAAGGTACCCAGATCCATCAAATTTCGAATAATCTAGCCCTCAACCTGAATGTGAGCACCTAGAAGCCCGAATTTGGAATTTGTTTAATTGTCTATTTCATATTTTGTAAAACTTTAACGAATTTTTGATTTACAAACTCAACTTTTCAATGCGAGTAATGGGAACACTGAACGAAATAAATTATTTTTATCTCCAGCGCTCGAGACTGTCTATCGGAAATTCCTAAAGATATGCTGTTTTTAAATATTTTTGGACCAAGGGATATTAGCCCAAATGTTCTCGAAAAGTGTATGTATGTGTACATGGAAAAAAAGAAGCCCTTTTGAGTGTAAGATAAAATTTGAAAGCTTTGAGATTTTTTTAATTACTAGTGTTATCATTCACGTCAGCATACAATAAATGTTTACTCTTAGTATGTGTTAATTAAAACATAGAGCTCATGAAATTTGTCATCTAAACAGCTGAGTTTCCTTCAGCTTGCCGTAGGTGCTACTAATAGTACGTAAGCATTGCTATGAAGGTTATAGTACAGCGTAAATTTTCAGAAGTGAATACTGTAGATTTTTCCCATCATTCAGCTTTGGTAACATCGAAAGTTTTATGAACTGGGATTATTAATTCATGCAAATTTGTTATGTCTTTGCATAATAAACTGTGTAAAATTGTATTAAATTTAAACTTTAACTGTTGAGAGAGCAGAAAAATGCGTTTGAAATGCAGAAATATTTAAAATAAGTGATTCACCTTAATCAGCTAATGAAACAAATTATACTACATTTTTACTTAATACAATTATTTAAATTGAAGCTTTGCAGTATAAGAGAGTTCTTTTATATTTATAGTTTAAATATTCCATAAAATTGTAGTTTTTAGTGGACAAATAACGGTGAAAGAGAATGCACGTTTTTTATAAATAAATATAAATTTTCTATAATTTAATTTCTAGAGTCACTTCTTGTCTCCACTGATTTTTGCGCCCACAACTATTCGCTCAATATTGCAGATTATGAAACTTATCTCTTATTTGAAAACTATGATTGCAATAAAAGATTGTGTTGATTTTACAAAAGGTTCTTATTCAAAATGAAAGATTTCGTCATAAAGAAAATATTCAAGTAGCCAAATATCCTAGAAATATAGTGCCAAAATGGTTTTTTTTTTTTTTTTTTTTTATCTAATTATCAACTCTAAAATTTAACTCTTTTTCTGAAATCAAAAGAAATTAAGGAAGAGAGAAATACAGAAGAAAAAAAATTGAAAGCCAAAAAATTAAAACATTATTGCAAGTTAAACAGAATTTTTTTTTTTTTTTTTTTTTTTTTTTTTTTTTTTGAGTATTTCTGTTTACAGAGAGAGAGGAAAAAAGTGTCAAATTAAAACATATAGTTAAGTTGATAATAAGCTAAAGTAAAAACTCAGATTTTTAATAAACTTTAGAAAAATTATGAAGTGTCTTTAAACATTGCACGGGGAATTCCATGCATCCACCAGGAAAACCACGAAAATGCCCGTGCAGTCAGCCGTTCACCGGGATTCGAAACCCGGAGCGAAATACCAGTGTTCAGCGACTTTACCCCTTGGTCGCTGGCGGGCACGCATTACTTTAGATTAGTCGGTAATTCTGCTGCAGAAAGTTGTAGAGCCTCTGCTCAGTATTTTATGCTTGAGCAAAGGTTTGTTTCCTCCCCTTCATCCCGTTATCGTTGGTAAATTTTGTACAGAAAGCTGAAAAAGCGTGAAAATAATTTAGCAGTAAAGCAATTACCTAATACTAAGTAATTGGCAAGATGTCGTATCAGCATTAAAAACTGATTACTATCATATAATGAAAACCTTATCTGACAGCTTCGCTTCAAGTTCGGACAAGTAAGTAACACTGAAGCGGGAACTACACCTTTTTTTTTTTTTTAAAAAAAAGTAATGGTATGAAACGATGTCTATTTCAATAGTTTAGAAAACCATTTTATAGAGAAAATATAAAAAAATTATGTGTATTTATGTTTGTATTACACTTCAATCCCATCTCTGTTTCTAGCAATAGTTGAAAGCTCTGTTTCTAGCATACAGCCTGAGGTTCCATTAATTTTACTGCCAAAGATTCCGGCTGGCTTGTTTTAGCATACAGTTTCCAAAAGCTGAAACTTTATTTTACAGTTAACAGTTTTCGTTCATTTATTCCAATGTATTAGTTATACCAGGAATTCCTAACCAGGGAGAATACCCCCCTAGGGAAAAATTTCATAGTTTCAGGGGGATGCGGCCAGCCTTTTATTTACCTGTTAAGTACTTAATTTTAGTTTATGAATATAAAAACAACTTTTATTCGAGTTTTGGTATTAGTTAACATTTTCTATATTTTTCTCGTTTAATTTAAAAAGTTCATTAAGAAATAATCTAAATTTAAATAAATGTGTATGTTTTTTCCGAGTTTTGGAAAGGAGCGGGGAGATTTATCTCTAGCAATGGTGAAAGGTGTGCATGGAGCAAAAAAAGGTTGAGAACGACTGAGTTACTGCAATACATTTTGTATGTGTTATTTAAATTTCATGCAGAAATAAATCAGATGTAACTATTTTAATTGCAGTTATTTTAATAAAATCACATCAAAAGTACTTTCAAACACATAACAGTTCTTTTAATTTGCTTCGTCTGCAAATAAAAACTTTTCAGCAGACTAATACGTAATATATACCTGAGTTTATGACCAAGCAAAGTTCACTGGGATCCATAGATTAAAAAATAAAATATTTTTATGGTTCATATGTACAAGAGACTTGGACAGCAAACGCTTTAAAAAATATTTGACATTGTTCTTCGAATTCGTTCTGTTTGCAACAGCAAACACACGTAAGGAGCTTTTCCTTTCGACGTTCATCAGAATTCGCTGTTATGTTCAAATTCTTGTTCTTCTCCTTAGTTCATAGAAAAATGTTTTTCCAGATCAACCTATTAAAATTTAAGAGATGATTAACAAAATTTCTATTGTATATGAAAGAAACTCATTTTATTGAAAGGTAGGGAATTAAGTTTAATGCTTAATTACATCATCTTCAATTTTCTAGATTTCACCTTGACATGTTGCAATATGACTGAAAGTATAAGCTGCTGACTTAAATGGCGGTTTATTTAACACAATTGATTAAAAATCTCTTTTGTGCGTATGATAACGTCATTCTATATGAATACGCATTAAAGTGTTCTGCACTGGAACGCAGGCTTATCGTTCTATATTCTTTCAATGATTTTTTAGTGGAGCGCATGAGAATCTCGCTCTAAAATAGAGCTTTTAAGATTAAACATTTAAATATGTTCACAGTTTGACTTGCCTTGGGAGTATAAACTAATTTCAAAGTCCTAACGGCGTAAAGAGAATTATCGCTGTGTCTGAAATTAATTATAAAGTTTTAGAGAGGTTTTAAAATAACCTTTTTATTTAAACACAAACCTTTAACATAAGTGCACATCTTGCGCTAACGGGACTGACCATCATTTGCGGCGATGTAAATTAAATGACAGTCAAATTTAAATTAAAATATAGGCTAGTAGTAAAAGACTTCAATTAAATTGTATTTAAGTCGAAGTTGGCTCAAAACTCTAACTGGAATGTCAGTTTAAATATCGGCAGCAAATAAAGCAAAGTCGAGTTATTATGAACTTATGTCAGAACTAAATTAACGTGGCCTCGAGAGGCAGAATACGCTCTGTCTTACAATCCAAAACCTCAGCTTAAATAATCTCTCTCACTGATTTACACTCCTGGTGAGGAAATGGAAGGGAAAAGTTAGAGTAAAGTCTGAAAATATAAATAACTGGTTAATTTAAATCATAAATGATACATATGCATTCCAGAGAATCTACTTAAACTCGTGAATCCTTAATAATGGAATCAAGTTAAGCATCCCAGTTTATTCAATAGGTTAGAAGTCAGAGCACAGTCGAAAACCAGAAATCTTCGATTCGCCCTGAAAAGGGCAACATAGAACTACACTTTCCAGGCCCCCAAAATATAAATCACGCAATTTATACTACCTGTGAATAGATCTGAAACCTGAATATACATGATGGATCTGCAAACTGTAAAACAACAGTTTCCAAATGCGAAGAGACGTTATTTTAGATAATATGTTATTTTTTAGATAATCTTTTTCTGTGCGTTCTCTTTCCTCCATCGGCCATCACCTGAATACTAATTAGGTTGGGTTTAAACTGTGAGCGAATTTACAGTTGAGAGAGATTGTAGCAGTCTGTTAAGATTGTTTTTTTTCCTGACACATCCACACATGTATCGATTTGCATTTTAGTGTATAGTTTTTGTATTTATTAGCACGCAAGCTCTGGAGTCGAGTCAGCGAGGCTTTGAAAGTTACTAAGGTTTGAGACTTCGGAAGCAACAATGACTGAAGTTGAAATAATAACACGCCAAGTAAAACTGACTGTAAGAAAACCTATAATAATTGGCATAGATTTTATTTTGTCAGAAGCGATTTCAGTAATTCAGCTTCATAGCTATGTTGCTGAACAAGTAATTAAATTTAATCTTAAAATTATCTGCTAGATGTACGAATTACCAAAGATCATGCCTGCAAAATAAGTCGGAAAGGAAAACTAAAACAAATATTTTGGCGAAATTTTATCTAAGAATTTTTTCCTTTAAAAAGTTGTGGACACATAGAGTTAACAGATATAATAATAAAATCTCATATACTTACTATATATCCAAAGCATTATTTAAAAAAAAAAATCAAGCACGTGTTAATAGACACAAACCAACAGATATACGTATACCGCCGAAAGATATCTAATCAGATACAAGTTCATCAATGCATAAATGTTATGAAAACATTGGTGGCTCAAGCATAAGAATATGAAAAAATTGAAAATTTTCTTAAAATTATATTTATCAAAATGTTCTTAAAACTATTAAATATATGCTGTGCTAATATTTAATAGATTCACATTTTTAATTGGCAGATTAAAAATGTTCGCACTTGTAGGAATATGTATCTGTTATTTGTCGCAGATGTCCGAACATGTATTTGTTATAACTTTATATTATATAAGCGGCTAAAATGTGTGTCGCCGATAGTTTATTGTTGGCACTCGGAAAAATGAGCGCGGAAATTAACGTTTCCGCAGTTTTTAATTAATATCTAGGCCGATTAAAGTCGTACGAAGATCAGAACGGTATCGATGGATTCCTAGAAGTTTTTGGAATCCGAGGACACGCGTCTCGAATTTCAATTCGACGCCGTTCGGTAGATATTCGAGAAAAAAGAATTTGGCACGTAGCACAATCCCTCTAATAGGGAAAACCCAAGAAAGAAAGTGTAGAATGTAGGGAAAACGTAGGGGGAAAATTAGTTTTTAATTAATATCTCGGCTCCCACGAAGACACAAAAGGTCAAAGTGGCGTGCCACGGACCTGCGGAATCCGACACTGTGCTTCGCTAAGCCCGGGAGCCAATCATTTGGGAGGAGATGATGTTACTTCATCCCATATATATATGCAGCTTAAGTGTCTGTAACTGTACTAGCCAATGGAGTGAAGTTGCCACAGCACAGGGTTGACGTTTCAGTTGAGACGTAGACAATTTCCTGTAAAATTTGCCTTCGCTATGACCATCCATAAGTCTCGGGGCCAAACGCTTAAGCGTGTTGGAATTTTTTTTTTACCTGAGTCTGCATTTGGACACGTTCAACTTTATGTTGCCTGTTCAAGAGTTCTTGAAAGAACAGACATAAAATTAAAAATAATGGTAGGTCCTCTGCAAGGCGAGCTTAAAAATGGTGGAAAGATCTACACAAGAAATTTGTGTACAAAGGATCTTTTATTGCATTAAATTTCATTTTTAAATCACCTTTATTGATTGAGGTAGTGGTGGGTTTTAAGATTCCGCCATGGTTTCCTTCATTGCTCTACTTTAAGCAATTAGCAAATAGAAGGGAAACCCCAGGGCATAGCAAAGGGCGCCTCGCGCCGCTCGGGTAATTCGTTTAATTAGCAGACACCTTTGCAAATCATTTTAATTACAATTTATAATACCTAGAACAGCGGTTACTTCGTATGACCGCCGGGCTTTCTAGTGTAATTATAAATATATAACACATTTGCAAACACTTTTAACATTTGAAAAGTTTCAAGACTTTGATTGAAAAGCTTACCTCGTACTAACGTGGTTTCTTTATTTATAAAATTCCACTAAAGATAGCTTTGAGATCATGGTTTTTCAAGTGTTGAAGACAACATATCTAAGACATCACCTGAGACTGGCCTTTTTACAGGATCCACATTTGTGCATTTTCTGACGACTTGACGTAACTACAAAGAAGTAAACATAGTTTCAAGATGAAAGATAACAACATAAATGGAAATAAAAGCATTTGCTGAACTTGTTTTAAAGCTAAATTTTAAAATATAGAAGTAACAGCATCTATAATACTAGAAATAATACTAATTATTATATACTTAGATTGCAATATTCCTTCTCTCCAGACCACCATTTATTTATGAGAAATTAAGTGAGAAATTTTAGTGAGTTTAAGTTAAGTACGTTTCGAGTGAGAGTCCTAAGTTAAGTGAAAGAGAACTGGAAACTTAGACCAGGAGGCCTGCTTTTCTCATTCTTCAATTCAGTCTGAGAAAAATATATTGCTTTCAATGAAAATTGACCTTACTGAACGTTATATTTATATTTTATTGAATTATATTTAACTTCTAAATTTCTGTCTACGACTGTTAAGAACTTCTCTTTCAGGGCGTTTGCTATTAATAGTATCTGAATTCATATGTAAATGTATTCTTTGAAGTGCACCTTTATTTAAGAAATTATAATCTCCACGCAGTCAAATGACTATAACCTGTTAATTCGATAATTATACAAATTGAGAACAAAATACTGTGGTTTTATACAAATGGTCCAAAGAAAAGTGTGTATGATTCTCTTTTATTTCAGAAAAGTCTTAAACTATGTACTTAGCTCTACATCAAGGGAACTAGTTTTACTCAGCAGAATAAAAATTATTATATCAAATGTTGTACAGAAAAACGAAGAGTGTATCCCGAACCGGTGTATACTTCATGTCCAGTGCATGGCTTAAACGTCATTTGAAAGTAATTGTGAACTCGGAAGAAGGTTTACAGTAAAGACTTTCATTAAAATTTAAGAAACTACATAGCCTTGTGTAATACAAAATAAGTCACTACTATTTGCGGAATTGTAGGCAATTCACGCGAAAACCTCTACTGTAAGTTTTGGCTTAGACCCTCTAATCATGTGAGAGAACATGTCTAGCCGAAGTCGATAGGCTAGACGAATAACAGTCAAACGAAGTATACTGTAGGACTGGGCGTAAATATAATTTAAGAAACTACATAGCATGTGCAATACAAAATAAGTCACTACTATTTGCGGAATTTAAGCTAACATACAACTAACTAATTTAAAGTAGGCCATTCAAGCGAAAACCTCTACTGTAAGTTTTGGCTTAGACCCTCTAATCATGTGAGAGAACATGTCTAGCCGAAGTCGATATAGCTAGGACCGAATAAATACGTCAAAGGCTAAAGTTGATACTGGTAGGAGCTAGGCGTAAATAGTAAGGAAAAAGATCAGAAATAGCTGTTAAAGTTCTTCCTTAACTTGAAAAACCCTGTTCTCATATCCCTTAACTAATTTGCATCCGGTGGTAGCCGATGAAAGTAGAAGTGACTGTAACGATAAAATAATAAGATAGTGGGTTAATAAACATAAAAATCCTTAAAAACGTAGCATCTAAATCTGCATATAAGAGAGACAGAAGAAAATGAGCAGCTACAAGTTCATACCATAATCATCTAATTACTACTCAAAGATATTCAGAAATGTACTAAAATGCGGAAATTAACGGTTACATCTCATCAGATCGAAAACGATTTTAGAATGCGTTATTTTGGTACAAACATGTCACTAGACCAGCGGTTCTCAACCTTTTGATTAACGCGTATCATCTAAACAAAAATTAAACACCTTTTAGTACCATCACTACAAAGTACTACTACCACCACCACTCTTGAACAAAGCTCATCGTATAAATTTACCAATGTTAGAGAAAAAACTCAATCAGGGATGGTGGGGTTTTAATTTTTGAATTTAATAGTTAAAAATACTTTGCTTCTTTTTTGCGTACGACTTATTTTTCTCTTGCGTACCACCGGTTGAAAATTCCTGCACCAGACGATTTCTGCCATATTTGAGGATATGTCTGTTATGAGTGCTGAAAACCACGTTTGTTCAATTTACCACATTTGCCGAAATGCCAGGTTACATTTGTCTTGTTCATCATCTTCCTGTTCCAGTTTTGGAATGGCAGAAGCATTTCCAAAGACAGAACCTTCACAGTCACTTGAATATCTGAACGAACAAAACCTACCAATTTAGAGTACAAAGCTGTTTCGTTCGTCTGCTGGAGGCGAAGATGATATTGTCAGCTGGAAGTGAAAAGAACGAAAATACTGTACATGTTTTGCTTAAAAGCCCCTGTGGCAGTGGTTTTCAACAGGCGTGTTGCGAGATTCGGTAGCTGTGTTGCTGAAAACTGTAATAAATTGGTGGCAATATTGTTAAAAATAAACGTGAACAATATCGTACTACACCATACGGTACATTATCGTAATAACCACTGAAAAAATAATTAAAATGATTTCAGTCAGTATCAATCTTGTAAAAGTAACAAAAAAAATTTTCAAGTGTTTATTTTATGCAGGATGTGCCGGCTTAAAATAAAAGATTAAAATTATTAATGAGAAATCTGGACTTTTTAATTATTATGATTCTTCTATAAAAATCCATTTCTTTATAGAAATGAAAACAAGCATAAACTTAATTCCCTCTAAACTTAAAAAATCTCTCATGTCTTTTGTCTTTTATACATGATTATACCGAAAACTAAACTTACATAGGAATGTGTTTGAAAGTGAAGTAGAATATTAGCTACTTCCAATATTTCTGTGTTTTGTTTTTCTCCTGCAACATCTTAAATTTAAGATGCGGTACTTAATCATTCTTCAAGTTCAAAACACTCCGCCTGACTCACGTTTTTCTTATTTACTCTTATTTCTCCATGGATGACTTCATGAAAGTCTTATTTATGTTATTCTTATTTCTCTTATTTATATTACGTTACTCTTAATATTTTGTTTATGTTACTCTTACTTCTCCATGGAATGATTGGTGGAGAGTGGGCTCTGGGCATAGAACGTAAGCACTGCACACTCAATTATACTTATAGACAGTGATAAAGATAAAATATTGTTCCATAAATTGTCTGTCATCCCAATGATAGGAAGTCACTTAAAATTAGTTAGGATATCGTGTTTTAGTGTGGATATACATAGAAAGATAGAGAAAAGTTCTGAAGATTTCCTACATTTTATTTCAATAGTCTACGGCTATTTTGAAACTTATTAAGTTTATTGTTTAAAATTATCACTTTTATCCCTTGCATAATTAATTTACTTATCCTCTCCCACACTTTTCTCCTCCTAATGAGAAACTTATCCACATTAAACTTAAATTTTTTTAAAGAAAATTTATATGCATGCATGTGATATATGTGAGTGAAATTAATACATAACAGAACATACCATAATACATGGTTTCGTTTCGTTCATTATGGCAAAGCATGCTACGGCTTCTGCCTCATAGGAGAGATGCCTTCGTAAAGGACTTTCTAAGGGAAACTGGCCCGTATACACATTAAACATGGGTAAATACACGAAAACGCCCATGCAAGCGCCCGTTCGCTTGGATTCGAATCCAGGTCGGAACTACCAGTGTTCAGCGATTTTACCGCTAGGCCATTGGTGAGTCTCGGAATACACGAAAAAAATAGTAGAGAATCTACAAATAACTGACCGTTGAAGCTGATTTAAGAGGGAGCAAAAGAGAGTCTTTGTAATGTTGCCAATTTGAACGTTAGTTGGCGAGGTTCTATACAGATTATGTGAATTCATTTAAAAGGTTAACGACTGATTATTGCCATTGCACTCTTCTTTAATTGTTAATACCTTACAGTACTGCTCGAATGCGTAACATGCAATCAGAAGCTTTGAAATGATTTGCAAATTCCATACTGCAAGTTCTGTGCTTAATCGCTCAGATAAAGCACATTTATGAAGCTGTCTAGTGAGCAGGCTTAGACATAGGAATATCTGAGCGATTGCAAAAGTCTTATTTCGAGATATACCTTCGTCACTTCAAGTCATGACTTTTTTAAAGTCTCATTGCGAAGATCGCATCCAAGTCTACATACCATAGGCTATGAGCCAAGCATGTGAGTTGAGTTCACGCTTAAGCATGTGTAATAAATTTGGAAGAGTTGATAAACCTTGCTATGTTTTCGGTAGGTGGATGTTTCAATCCATTTTATTCGATTGAGCGTATTCTGCTTTAAATATAGTATTTAATATGTGCAGTCTAAAACTATTCATTCCGAAATAAATGGGGTAAGTATAGATTTCTCTATGGCCTCTGTCAATGTAAATTTGCAATAATAGAAAACGTATTTTAGTAGCTTAGTATTTAAGTATTTTAGTATTTTAAATAAGCTTTATGAGATAGAACAAAGTGAAGTAAATGCAAGTTAGTCAAACCTTTCTGTAGGAGTATCACAAATTTGTTTAAATGTATATGTCTAATTCTACATTTAAATTCAGCTTACTGTTTCTAAAATGTGTTCTTCGTCATCTACTTTGCTTTCAGATCTTCGAGAGTCGTAAGTCGCATCATTTCTTCGTCTGAAGAAAGATCCTTCTGTGATTCGCTCTACGGCACTTCTTTTCGATTCACTTGAAGTGACTAGAAAAGAACAAAATTATGGAAAACTATATTTATGAAACTATATAAACGGTTTTTGAAATTATTAAAATGTATATCTTAATTTCTGAAGCTATATAGACAATATTTATAATACAGTTCTGCTTTCAGATATAAATTTCTAATTCGGTTTGTGTAATTCCGAAAAGCCTCGAGGGCTATCTGCCTAGGGAAAGGGATGTCTTCGTGGAGGGCATTCTAAGGGAAATTGGCACGTATACAGTTTACACATGGGGAAAGCCACAAAAACGCCCATGCAGCCAGCTCGATCGCGGGATTCGAGCCTCAGACCGAATTGCCAGTGTTCAGCGACTGATCGCTCAGCCGCTTATGGGCGATATAAATTTTTAAAGACAGATTCAGTCACCCTATATATAAAATATTTCAGCGTAGATTAGTAAAGTATTATTTCAGCAGAAGACAATTTTCGAATGAGTCATGAAAGTTTTTTTTTTTTTTTTTGGTTGTTGTTTTGTTATAAAATTACACACATTAATTTATAATTATTGATAAAATATTTTAAATTAGATATCTTTGCTGCTATTGTTTCTAAGAGATGATAACATCTCTTAGAAAGATTGGCACTTGCTGCGCCATTGCTACATCGTTGTTCCAGGTGGTAAATGACTTTGAAGACTAGACAGATGAGGCATGGAAAGCAAGTGTCGCATGGACAAATAATAGGAAAGTGCCTTCGGTCTACGCTGCCTATATATTTGCAGTGATGAGCTATGAAAATTTTAAAAGGCTTCGCTCTTTTATATATATACAAGGTGTCCATAATTAAACTTGAAATTTGCGAGCAGTCTGTAGCAAAAACTATGCAGCAGAATTGCATGAAAATTGCGTAATGGCAGAATGAAATGATGGGAATTTTGTCGAGGGAAAAAACAATGTGTTTCAAAAACCACCTCTAGATGGCATTGTGCAATGAAACTATTGGCATATGCAAATGTCGTAACCATAGTAGTCCTGTGCGCGCACAGCAATTCTATGAAGATGTGAGAGGAGAACCGCAGTCATACTCGTTTCCAAGTAAGAAAGATGACGTTGACATTCCAGGAATGTGCTTTACTGATGAAATTGTTTACCAAAATGGAGACTCTGCTACCGAAGCATTGCGTAAATTTCTGTCTTTGGGAAGCGGTTACGAAAAAGTCCACTCACTAGTCAAAGACTAACAAACATGATTAGGAAATTTGAAGCAACGGCAACATTGGGGATTCAGCCAGGAAGGGGGCGAAAGTGTGTTGCAGCATAGTTAGTGGATGCTGTAGCGACGCAAGTGGAGGAAAACAGATCGCAAACCATCGGTAGTACTAGTGTTTGACGTATTGCAGCATCTTTTGACCAACGTCGTTCCACGGTTCATAAGATTCTTCAAAAGGTCTTACGCTAATATCCCTATAAACTGTCACTAGTGCAGCAGCTCTTACAAGTTGATTTGGATAGTCGACAAACTTTTGCGTTGCGGTTTCTTGCGTGAGTTGAGCTCCAGGATGAATGGCCATGGAACATTTTGTGGACCGACGAGGCCCATACACGCACAATGGTCTATTTGGGCTACTACAAGCCCACATCAATTCCTACAAATTCCATCACACTCTTCGCATATAACGGTTTGGTGCGGCCTTACTGCAACCTTCACTGTGGGTGCGTTTTTTTTTCGAACAGCACAGCATTGCAGCGCCTGTGACATGCACCGCCACCAGTCAACGGTACGCTTCATTATTAGAGCAATCCGTTATTCCGGCTCTCCAGGCAAGGCAATGTGATATAACCACAGTGTTTATGCAGGCTGGTGCTCCTCCACACATCGCCCGTTGTGTAAAACAAGTGCTCTGCTGAGATGTCCTTGGCCACAGAATCTTCAGCCGGCAATTTCCTATAGCTCGGCCTCCTATGGTCCTGCGACTTTTGCCTGTGGGGATACTTCAAAGCCATGGTCTACCGTGATCCCATGACTTCTCTATCCGACTTTAGAGAAAGCATAGAACGCCATGAGCGTAACATTCGCCAGTTCATGCTGTTTTCAACAGTCGAACATGTTATTTTACACTTCCAGATGATAACAAACAATGGTGGACATCATATCGAGCATGTTTTTGTAAACTTTTGTAGATCATTTGTATGTTCTCAATAAAGCTATGATATGCCACCTAGGGGTGGTTTTTGAAACTCATTGTTTTTTATTTCCTCGATAGAATTCCTATCATTTCGTTCTGCCATTACCCAATTTTCATGCAATTCCGCTGTGTAGGTTTTGCTACAGACTGCTCGCAAATTCCAAGTTTAACTATGGAACCCTGTATATATAACAAAATAGATTCTAGTTAAAGGATTTGCTCTTGCAGAAACAGAAAATGCAAATAATAAATTGGAAAAAAAAAGCACGAAAAATATAACAACAAAATATCAAAGAATTTTCTTTTATTTAAAAATAACGAGTAAGCTTAGTTATGCGACAGAACTTACGATAGAAACTGCCATACATCATTTCCTGCAACTCAGCTGTTGTTTTAGAAAATTTTAAGGATATGCTCAGTTTTTTCAAAAACGTTTTTACACGAGGTTCTATAATAAGTCTGTTCGGGTTGAACTTTACTAATAATGATAGTCTTCTTACTCATTTTAGCTTTCTTTACACTGAAGTTTGTGACTCAGGTCTCCTCTAAAAGCCATCTTAACAAAATACACAAAATAATTTATTTTTGTTTTATGCTTTATTATAAAAACTAATACTTGTCGAAATAAGATTATAGCACGAAAGACATGAGTTTTTTTAAATAAAAAACAAGGAGTTTTCAAATTAGATAGAAATTTAACAATGGGCTCGAGCAGCCCCCAACAGTTTACCACTTGATATTTGGTTCTATTTCGTATTGCGAATACTGACTCGTTACCGAGCCGCTGGGGTAGTCACAATGAATTTATTGTTCAAAAAACTGGGACGAGATTGTTTGACGTTTAGAAAGCACTGATCTAGGGTACATTTTCTGCATTTTATTATTTGTTAGCTTTATTATTTCACCCCTTATTAGTATATCAATGCTGTTTTTTAAATGAAATTCATACATTCATAATAGCTCATAAAATAACTGTTTTTAATGATAGCCATTGCACAATTTAAATAATTTTTATATTTTTCACTTTTTCCCATCAAAATAATGAAATTTACTTTGGTCATTATAATACATTAAATTATAACATAAAAATGACTTTTACAGGCATAATTTGATATGTAACATACCTGCTGCTTATTACAAACAAATTCGCTTTTGTTCCAAATATATTTTAGTTTACTAAGAGGCTGAGTTTAATACACGTCAATTTGTATATTGCAAATCGTGATATCAGTTTCAAACGTTTCAAGTAAAATAATAGCTGAAAACTAATTCAAAAATTAATCCTAAAACAATAATTAAAAATTAATGCTAAATTAAATTAGTTACATAATTCTAAAATTCATTTTAAATTTTTGTACAATATTTTTATGCTACGTTCTCGATGAAGTTTCATGTCTTACAGAAACTATTCTATTTCTGTTCATTTTATTTTTTCAACAACAGTTTTTTAGTTGCATTCTCAATTTCGTAAAACTGCTGTTAGAGGTTTTAATCAACACTTTCCAGTTCAAGATTTTTCTTAAAATTTGCTGTCTTTTTCCAGATTCGACTGAGGTTAATGTGCTGTGATAAGGTGGCATAAAGGTTCTTTGGCTAGGATGAGTGATTTCAGAGTGCAATAGTTTTCCTAGCAGCGGTGAAATCCTGTGCTTTTGTTAATGATTCCGGTTGCAGCCTCGAAGATCACTCCAGTGGACAAAGGGATAAAAGAAGTCATTTCATCAGGGTCAGAAGATGGACACTTTGTTATGTATGAGTGAAAGAATCTCCCCCCGGGAGTTCAGCACAAGTAAACACAAGGAGATATATAAGGTGGTTTTCTGAGAAGAGGGAAAACATCCTCACGATTCTGAGCGGTGACGACGAACGTGTATGACGTATTGCAGTTTACTCTCACATTGTGACCTAACTGTCCCAGCCCCGTAGGCGGACAGTGATTTTTCGTGTTAATTGATTAGTTACCTTCGGGTAAAATGTCCTTGTTTAGGATACCACGCTATTCCTCTGATGAAGACGACGAGTACAGTGAACGAGAATCGGCAAGCTCTCTACAAACGAACAGTACTTATCTGTTAAGAAATAGGGATTTCTTGTTTAAGGAGACTGAAAAGAAGAAAAAGAAGTCTAAGAAAGCTAGGATTGCCTCTGACTCGGAAACGACAAAGAACCCGTGAAGAAAGTTGACTCTAAGTCTATCACCCATAAAGAGCCAAGAATTATTGAAAATATTAACTCGCACATCTTAAATATTGCTCGAAAGCATGGAGTTCACGTAATGATCAAAGAATTAGACAGATTACAACACCTGAAAGATAATGGACTACCTGCATATGAAGCAGACGAATTGATTACCAAATGGAGTAAAAGCGAGAAAGAACAAAAAAGCGAAGTGAATTCTGAAGGAGAAAAATGGATTCCCCCTAAGAAAACTGCTAAGACAAAGCAAAAGAACCCATGGGGATTTCTAAAGAAAACAGATTTAAGGTTCTGGAAACGGCGGAAAACGGAAAACGGAAAACGAAGGAGGAGTCACGGCTGAAGAAGAAACGCCTCCATCCATTGTGTTACAACAGAAGATGATTGATTGGTTGGCAGTTCACGAACTGCTACTAAAGGCCTGCGGGAAATAATTTAAATTGGAACTGAAATTTAATTCAATTTACATCAATGTCAAGAGTATAGATGACTACAGGAATGCAACGAAGTTACTCAATGAGAAACACATACCCTACCACTCTTTTCAACTATTGAGCAAAAAACCCCTCAGAGTGGTTATAAAAAATTTGCCTGATACAGTTTCAAAAGAAGCAATTAAGAATGATCTTGAGAAAAGGCAATACCTGGTCATTAAAATGAAGCAAATCAAGAGAGGTAGACAGCACAACTTTGAGAAGTTACCGATTTTCATTATAGATCTGGAGAAATACTTCTGGATATTGTATCCATCATTTGAATAATATGTTCATCGTCAAAGTAAAAGCTGAAAAGTTCAAGCCGAGGAAGCGTCCACTCCAATGTTACAGGTGCCAAGAGTTTGGGTACTCCCAACAACTTTCCACCAATCCTGAGAGATGTTGCAAGTGTGGGCAACACCGTCGAAGTAAACTATGTACTCTAAAGAAAGAAGAGAAACCGACTTGTATCTTTTACCAAGAACCACATGTCGGTTTCTACCGTCGATGTTCGGAGTAAAAGAAAAGATTCGAGCGAAAATCCCCACATCAAAAGCCGAAAACTCTCCAAATGCAGAAGATTCCTACCATACATGAATTCTCTCAGCTAACCATAAGCGAAGATAGAACCCACCCGACAGAGCGAAAGCCCTCATATAGAAGCAGAGCTCAGAAGAAACTACAACCTCCACCTGACGAGATATCAGCAGCCATTAACTGGCTACAAGACGAAAAGATAAAGAAATTCATAGACACAGTGATTAAGAACATAGAGAAGATAAAAGCAGCTAGAAGTACCGCGGAGAAGTTTATGGCCGGTTTTCAAGCTATCCTATCATTGATGCAATTCGCAGACAGTAAAGATTAAGCTCGTTCTTGTCATGTAATGCCAGCGACTTCAAATTTAGGATTTTTCTGGACTCCATTTTCAAGCGGTATCCCTCGGGCTCAGTGCTTAGGTGTGTGACCACCCACGTGACTGGCTCCTACGAACCAAGACTCTTCTAATTCGCGAAGAAATTTCACAGCTCGAGTGGCCAATGAGGATACTCCAGATGCTTTCCCAATATTCTTCAATCTGCAACTTTGTACTTTATGTACAGGACTAGCTTCGCTTTTGTCGGCGCGGTGTAAATCACCTTCTCTCATTAATTACCCGCCAACGCCTTAAGGCATTTTTTCAAAAGTGATGGTCAAAGCAGCAGCAGGCTTCTAAATGCCGCCTAAGCCATTTAATTGATTTGATTTGAAGAAGGGAAAATGTTCCTGTTTAGAGCCATGGGCATGTTGACCTGCTAAGATAGATCATTCCTCGTGTATAATGCGTTAGAGCATTTTTCCTGAAACAAAATTCTGAAATTATGGCTCTAAACATACCCCATATTTATGTCTAAATACACTATGGTACTACAAAGGTGCTGGCCTAGACTCTACTTTTACCTATTATTATTATTACGAATAGAATGTTTACAGTGATGAAAGAAAAACAGATCACCAGTTTTAAGCGCAATAACAAAATATTTGTTGGCAGATAATTCCAAATTATTAACAAAAAGTTATGTTTAATAAATTCTAAATATGCTGATTTATTACTAATACAATTAAAAGTATTTACTTCAAGCAGTTTTACTGAACTATGGACTACTGGAATATGGGCATTTTTATGAAACATTAATTAAAACATAGATTTTGCAAAGCATACATATTTTAGTTTATCATTGATGAAGCTAAACTAATTAAAATGTTTTATTCAATAGCGCATTACTGCGAGAAATTTTAAAATCAGGTTAATCACCTCATTTTAATGGTTACAATGACCAAATAAAAAATGGCAGGATAAATACACAATTACCACCCTTTATAGGAGCAATATGATACAGAAATTTTGACAGTGGATAAAGAAATTGACATCTTTAATTACGAGTACGTACCCTGTGCTTTAAGATTTGAGTAATGTTAAATGTGAAATTATGAGTTATTTTTAGTCGATTAGCTTTTGTTTTAGTTAACCGGTTCTTTTTACATAAATTCCTTCTTATAACTTCTATCTCTTCTTCCATCAGGCGCCACTTGATTAGAAATTAGGTCGAGTTTAAATTCTGAGTGCATTTGTAGTTTAGAAAGATGCCTGTGGCAACTTACCAGAAACTTGTTTGTGTTCTGAATCGTCCATTGGTGTGCCAATCTGGTTTGGTGAGTATTTTTTAATTTATTAGTTCTTGGGCCTAGGAGTCACGGATGGGAATTCATTTGAAGTATAAGAAAGTAGGGTGTAGTTTAATTGTTAAGTAGATTTAACTATGAAAATTATTTTATCAGTTGTTCTTAGTATAATTCCATTTTGTTCATAGATCATTTATATATATGTATATAACTAATAATAACAATTTATGCATTTTGTTAAATTCTCACGGATATTTAAAGTTCTAGCATTTCTGATAATGAATATTTTTTTCTTTGTTTAGTTCAAAGGTGCAATTTGCCCAGAAGGTATATTCATTTCGTTTTGGGACTTTGCGTTGATTCACTACAAGCGTTGTTTCAATTTTTAAGTTTTTGCCACCAAATATTATCGCCCTATATTATATTTAAAGAAATCATATAATCAAGAATCTGTATAAATGTATGTATGTTTCTCGCATTCTGATAAAACAACGGTGCCTAGAGCCACCCAATTTTGAATAACGTAATCCTCCTGCTGATATGGGCATCTGGAAGCCCAAATTTGAAATTTGGAATTTGTTTTATTATCGATTTCATATTTTGTAAAACTTTAACGAATTTTTGATTAACAAACTCAAAGATTTCAAAGCGAGCAATGGCAACGTTTTACAGATTTTTTTTTTTTCCATCTCCAGGACGCGAGACTGTGTATCGGAAATTCTAAAGATAGGCTCATTTTAAAATTATTTTGCGATATTGCTGTTGAACTGAATTTTATGGTTTAAGTGCGAAGAAAATTATATTTAATAAATAAAGGTAACATGCAAAATGTTAAAAAAGTGCTTCTTTGGACGTAATTTAAAGTCTGATCGACGATGTAAGTATGAAGAAAATTTAAATATATTCAAGAGAAAAAAGTATTTGCAGATGGTTGATTAAGAAGAAACTTCCATAAACGTTCGTACTTACCCGACAACTTTTCATAATCATGATACTTTCTGCGTGTACTGAAAATAAATAAATAAATAAAAATACTTCAATCAAAATATTTGCGAAAACATATGATAATATTGCATTACATAATATGGTAAATTATATATGCATACAGGACTTCAGCGCCGATTTTACCTTCTCTTCTACACAGTACATGATGACAAATTACACAAAAAGGAATTAGATAACACAGAAAGTAATGAACATTGCATTACAAACTTCTTTCCAAATTCTTCTAAACGAATTTTTTTTTAAATCAGAAGAATAAATAGCGTTCCATTTCCTCTTCTAATAAACAAACTACATACTTGTTTTTGTCCATTAAATAAAATCTCTCTCTCTCTCTCTCTATATATATATATATGAGTGACTAAATAACTTACCACAAATTTGTAAAAGAGGTAATCATTCTAGACGCTTTACTATAGTGTTCCATGTCATCCAACTGTTGCTGAAAGCAGAAACGTACTGCAGGATAATTCCACTGATTTCTACTGCAGTTCTCTAACCACTTCCCTGATGTTACTTAAATTTCCATTCCATACTTAAATTTCCATTTTAGGTTTGTAAGGATTATGTTAATTTTATTAACAGTTAAATTTTGAGTTAAAGTTCCTTTCCTGTCAGTTCTTAACTTCAACCTACTACTTCCGGCCAGAACGTAGTTTTGGAATCTCGTCTGAATACATAATGAGGAAGAGCGGTATTTAACCGCGAAGTTCTACTTGCTGAGTTAGAGAGAATCAGAGTTTCTGATTAGCCGCGCGTTCGCCTTTGAAATTGTGGACCAGTGGCTGAAGAGAGCTGACGAGACAGGTCTGAGTCTGTGCTCCGTCTGTTTCTTTTGGCAGTAACTGCCAAATACCGGTCCTCATTCGGCGTTGTAACTCTGGGGCGACCTGTACTGTAACGTCTACTCACATTACCATCATCTTGGAATCGTTGCCAAAGCCTGGAGATAACACTCTGGGCAACTACTTTGTGCTACTCTCTCTCAAAGCTGTTATTACTCTCGGGCCGTACTCAGGCCCTTGATAACCTCGCAATCAATTAGCGTTAAGGGGCCAATTCGGTTAGAACCTTGATAGTTTCGGCTATATCTCTTAGTTTAGATTAGTTTTAGTTTACTCCTTAGCCTCTTAAGCTCAAAGCCCAAGTGTCGGCTTATATTGTACACTTCAAGACGGAGTTCTGTTAAATCTTATTGTTTCTTGTCACACGAACTCAAGCGATTATTCGCTTAGCAGTTCTTCAGATTCTTCACGTTCAACAATAACTTAGCATTTACAAAGTGGAGAACTCTACAAGGTGAATGAAGTTTGATGAAAATAGACATTGCAATAGCTGTCTCACCAACATGAATGTGCCTGAAACGACTTCATGGTAATGTGTTTGGCCTTTAATTTATAGCGAAGAGCGTTTAAGAAAATTCGAATATCTTTAATCCGACAAAAATAATAAATTGATTTACACTAACAGAAGAGAACATTATGACTACCGCTATACTACAAGGGTGCCTCTTCCGAATAATATAGAAGACACATAACAAGACTGGATTTTTTATTTGACAGCTGCGGAGGATCCAGATGCCTCATGTTTTTCGACTGTATTTGTGTATATTTGGAAATGGTACTCTAATTTAAGCTAATTTATCAAAGACCATGTATATCGTTATAACCCAATCCACATATATTCAGATCACAGGGTAGATGCATCTGAATAGACATGTAATAGAACTCTGTTGAATATAGGAGTTCACATAGTGATTGGGCCATACGACAGTGGAAAAGAATTGTCTGATCGTATAAGTACCGATTTCATTTACCATTTATTCAGGCATATAACGCGCACTTTTAATACAAAAAATAAGACCGAAATTTACGGGTGTGCGCCTGAGAAAACACCCGACTCCTAATTCTTCAAATGCATTCGAGTAGGAAGTGCATTTTTACCTCAAATTATGTCTCCCTTTCCTCGAAACACTAGATGAACTTCTTGTGCACGCCTGCTTTGAACAACTCACCCTTCTTTGTAGAATTATTTATTCCCTCAAGCATTTGCTCGCCCCCACACACATGTTGTTCCCTTTATCGTTTGTCATCAATTCACAATTGTTCGGAGGTCTGGAAAAAAAATCTTCGAATGAATGACTTCAAAAGACAAGATCTCTGACGCTTAGCTAGCTCTGACGTCTCACTACTGAAACACTCGTGACATGGTTTAGCATTTATCTGCGGTCTTTATAAAGGATTGCTCGGATATTAAGCCAGTCACAGCAAATGACAAGAAATTAATTATTTGCATCTAGTTCTTTCAGTACACAGGTAGTACGCTGCCACATATGGATTGTGTGTGAGATGACGAATGATTCAGTTATGTTTTTCAGTGCTCGCTTCAGTGTCTTAACAATGAAGACCACCGAGTGAGCGTTTGAAGGCAACGTAGCAGTCCGGTCGTTCTAAATGCAGTCAGATGTGTCTATCTATTCCTTGCGATGTTTTGGGTGTTTTCGTGGTTTTCCCTATGTGTAACGTGTATACGAGCCAGTTTCCCTTAAAGTCATCCACGAAGGCATCCCTCCCCTTAGACAGATAGCCCTAGTGTGCTTTGCCATAATTAAATACACCTTGCGATGTTTACTTAGATCAGTGGGCTTTAACGGTGTGGATGAAATTTGAAAAGGGGCCAAAATTGGCCAAAGGATCAACTGGGAGTCTATAGCTAAATATATACTGACAACTGATGGGCAAAATATGATAATTTATTGTTATTGAGTTAAAGTCGCATCTTATAGTAAGGCAGAAATCGTATAAAATAAATAAATGGAATAAATAAATAATGGGAAAATACGCTAAAATTATTTAACATATTTTAAAAATCAGTAATATTTTTTAAACATATAAGTTTTTATGCAATAAGTGCAATATAAAATGTAAAGCTCAACAAAACACAGTAAATAAAAAGGAAGAACGCAAAACTGGAATGGGTAACAAGTAAAATATTGAATATTTTTGAAAGAGGTGGCTCAAAAATTAAATTAAGCAGTTTTATGCCAATTATTTAAACAAAATATATCAAATCGTCAAGCTCATTCATCACATTAATTAAAATCGAAATTTTGGGCCTTTAGAATCTGTACATTTTTTGGAAAACCTCTTTGTATCTGTAAAATTAAAAATAATTAAACAAATCTAATGAAAGATTTTCTTCAAATCTTCTGCTCATATTCTTTAAGTTGCTGTTAAGTTTAAGTAAGTTGCTTCTTAAGTTTTAAGTAATTGCTGTCTTTAAGTTGTTTATGGGCAATTATTCATATATTAATTATGTTGCATATTGTACGAGTATATCACAGAGAAAAATGTGAGGGAGTCGATGTCAGAAAAATGTTAGAAATCCCTGATCTAGGTGTTCCTTTCTAAATCTGCTGAGTCATTTTCTAGTTTTATAACTAACTTCGTCTCTAAATTTGATCCACAGTTGTTGCATCACGTAGAAATTTTGCCCAGCATAATTTAAAGATTAGAAAACTTCCCTCATTACTAAATCGGCAGAAAGGGCATTAGCTCGACGAACAATTTTTGTGTCTCAATGTCTTCGTTTTTCCTGTATGTTTGTACTGATGCCAAAAATCGGGTGAAGAAAAGCATCTGCTATGATCAGCAAGGCGATAGCATGATGACCTGGTAAAATGTACAACGGATACTGTTGCTAATACTCATGCTTTCAAAACTAGCAGAGGGTAGTTTGAGAAGTTTAAGAGAAGAAATGGCTTACTTAGGCAAAAAAGAGTTGCAAGAGTGAAGCAAAAAGCTGATGAAGTATTTATATAGGATTTTAGTGTCTGTGTAAAAGTTGAGGGATTGAGTAAGTATTCAACCATGACGAAACCGCTTTATTCTGGAAAAATGGCAAAGAGAACGTGCATCATTTAAGAGGAGGTAGCCTTACCTAGATACAACTCAATGAAGGATAGTCCGAATTTTTTTTTCTGTATGAAAAAGCAAAAGCAGCCGTTAGGCAAAACCGTTACTTCTGTACCATTCAGAGAACCCAAGGGTGTTTCAAAAATAATATGATTAAAACTACATTGAGCGTTATGTGGTGGGCTAAGTGTAAGGCCTAGGTAACTAAGCAGTTTGGATTCATGAAGGTTTTACAGAAGCTATGAAGAAATTGCAATTGAAATGACTTCTTGTGACAGATAATGCACCTAATCACCTTCCCAGCTCTGCAGGTGAGTTAGATTTCATAAGTGAAGTCCCTGCCTAAACCTAAAACGACTTCCCTAATACAACTCATGGATCTCTACAACAAAGTACCTTTCAAAAATGTTTGCGAATAATTTATGACACAGAATTAACATTCAGAGGTTTCTAAAAGCAGACTTTTAATATTCTCTACTGTTTAAATCACATAAAAAGTACCTGGCAGTTAAAGGAGCATGAATTAGGTTTGCAAGAAATGGTGACCAGGTTGTGTTATAGGAAGAGAGTTTGAGTGTTCTGACACAGAGAAAAATCTCATTGAGGAGAAAATATCTTGAGAAGAGGTATAAAAGGAAAATGTTTTTAGTTATTTGAACCTTTAAATGTGTGCAAAATAGGTTGAAGTGCAAATTTTTATAGAACTTTATCGATAGTAAGAATCCGACAAACCAGTATTGAGCCATGGTATAAATATTTCCGACGAAAATGCTATGTCTTATTTCAGGAACATTTTAACACGGAGGCAGAAATAAATAACACTGGACAAATTTTGAATGAGAATAAAACAAGAAATTTTCGAGGATAACGGTATCAAGAAAAAGACTAAAAATATCTGCCATGGGTAGCACCTACCTTATAAGTTTTCGGAAAAGAATTCCTTTACAACAGCATCATTTTGCATCCTTTGCCATCAAATTTATTTCGTACAGATACGATAAAGTTTTCCTTTTTCTAATACGAATTAAAGCAAATTTTTAGTCCAAAGGGATTTCAGTCCCGAAGGACTATTGCTTTCGTTTTGGCATTTTGCGTCGGACTCATAAACGTCGGTTCACTTTTCAAACTGTTGCCACAAAATGTTAGAGTCCTGCATTATATTTGAAGAAATTAAATAATGAAAAATCTGCATAAATGATTTTCTATTTCTCGCATTGTGATAAAACAATGGTACATAGAGCCATCGAATTTTGAATGAAGAAATCCTACTGCGAATATGAGCATGTGAAATCCCAAATTTGAAATTTGTTTTATTATAGATTTTTATATTTTTAAAACTTTAACGAATTTTTGATTTACAAACTCAAGCTTTAAAGCGAGAAATGGCAACGTTATATAGAAAAAAAATACTTTTATCTCCAGCTCGCGAGACTATGTATATCGGAAATTCTAAAGATATGCTTATTTTAATTCTAAAGATATGCTTAATTTAACATTATTTTGCGATATTGCTCTTGAACTGAATTTTATGGTTTAAGTGCAAAGAACATGATATTTAATAAATAAAGGTAACACTCAAAACGTTAAAAAAACGCCCCTTTGGACGTAATTTAAAATCTGAAAAATTTCAGATTTTTTTTTTTTGCTTTTTTTTATATCTTTATATGTTTTCAGATTTTTCATGTGTTTTAATATTGTGTATATGTTAATGTGATATATGTCAGAAACTTAGCGAAGCCCCGCCCGCCTAGTGAAAATGAATTCCTTTTATAGTCAAATACAATATATAAGTATTAGATTTAATAAATTACATTGGTTTTGTATTGCGAACTTTTAAGTGCAAAGTACTCTTTTCTAAGCAATCATTCGGACTACGGGAAGGAATTGATCAATTTTACAACAATTCCTAAGGAAAACATTGTTTTAGCTTACGAATATTTCGGGTGACAAGCTATTTTTAGGAATGGAGTAAGTTCGTGAGCCAAGCTTTTAGTGCATTTCAAAGTTTAGCTTAACATATTATTAACGTTTAATTTTTAATCACTATCTGACATAATGTCCTTGAAATGAAACTGCGAAAATTTGCATACCGTCAACTCTGGATTAACCGGGAGGGTGAATTAAATGAGTTAGTTTAACCGAGCCATGGCTAAAAAAAATTTTTTTTTTCCAGTACGAAAGAAAAATTGCTGTAGCAGACCATCAGCGTAATATAAAATTGTCTACGAGAAAAAGTAAAAAAGATAGATACCAGCAGATGATATCACAGTATTTGAGAACTGTTTTTATGCAGTGGTAGCATATGATGTTCGAATATTTGAAAACTGGTTTTGCCTATAAAATAAATTTACATAATCGGAAATATATATGTATTGTTAAATGATCATTGAAAACTAAATTTCTTAGTCTTAAAAATAAATCAGTGTAAAGCAATAAATATTCTGTTTTACAATGCTTCTTGGCGGAGTACAAGAGTAGCATTCACAAACGAAATTGCAGGTACATTGTGAAGTGGAAAAGAAATGTAAATAATAACAGAACTAAACTGAGAGAGAGATAAAAGACTTTAAATACTGATTTAATTTACTTAACCAAATATACTTATTCTATAGATTAAACTACTGAAAAATGTGGATAAATTGTTAATAATAGTTCAATAATATATGAGTTACGTAATGTAATTATAATTTGATTATTATATTAGTACATATGATGCAGTATTAGCACTATAATTATAATGGTTACAGCCGAAAACATCGCGGCAAAAACATCGCAGACGAAAACGTCGCGGAGAAAACAACGCAAGGAGAAAACGTCGTGCTACAAAACATCGTGGAGAAAACATCGCAAAGAGAAAACATCGCAGTTCTAAACATCGTGGTAACAAAACATCGACGTCGTCGAAAATAAAGCGTTCAAAAACTTCGCATTTTAAAAACATCGTCGTCGAAAATATCGTGGTAAAAAATAAAGTATCTACAAATCATCGCATGACGATAACATCGCAGACATACTTTTTTCAGGTTTTTAATAATTGTAAATGGATATTCCCCTAATGATTGTGAGCGTAAGATGGAAAGAAGGATAATTTTTACTTTCATATTTTTTATTAATCAATAAATGTTTTGCTGAGAAAAAGGAAATTTAAGCATAGAAAATTAATGCAACTTATAGCACTTAATAGAATTTTAAACCGACATAGTTAACTAAAAAGGCCATTAATAAATCGTGTTTTATAAAGTTTTTACTGGTAATTTTTCATGAAAAAGTATAATCTATAAGTTGCATTTAATTTTCTATGCTTAAGTTTCCTTCTTACTTTTTTTCATCAAAAATTTATTAGTTAATAAAAATGTGAAAGTAAAAATTATCCTTCTTTTACATCACTTGCGCTAACAAATCATTATGGGAATATCCATTTACAATTATTAAACCTGAAAAAAGTATGTCTGCGATGTTATCGTCATGCGATGATTTGTAGATACTTTATTTTTTACCACGATATTTTCGACGACGATGTTTTTTTAAACTGCGAAGTTTTTGAACCGCTTTATTTTTCGACGCGATATTTTGTACCGCGATGTTTTAGAACTGCGATGTTGTCTCTTTGCGATGTTTTCGCCCACGATGTTTTGTAGCACGACGTTTTCGCCTTGCGTTGTTTTCTCCGCGACGTTTTCGTCTGCGATGTTTTTGCCGCGATGTTATAGGCGGACACCAATTATAATATCAGTTTTTCCTTTCTCTTTTTTTTATTGCCACTGAATTAACTGTTCCGAACATCGTGTTTAATATTGCCACAATAAAATAGAATTTGATTCCATCTTTCATTATCTCTTTCTGTGAATAATAGTAAATTAGGTTCAAGTTTTTCACTTCTGTTTAAGAACGATAATAGGAGTGTGAATAGTTGACAACTCTATTGTCGCTTTTACAATGCTGCTTCGACATTCCTTAGTCTTGATTCGACTTAAGAAAGAAAATGAATAATAAAATAAAATAATATAAACTTCATTAATACCTGGAACTTCTTTCCAGCACAGGTAAAGTCACATCTGAAGATTCTGTTGATGGAGATCTAGATACTGGTTTTCTTTTCGGTATCTGCAGGAAACTGACTCGTGTCTCCTGTGGCGGTATTTCAGTATACAAATTTTCAGAAGCAGGTTTGTAATTCTCAGACGTAACCTACAATAAATTAGAAATGCATTTGAACAAATAGTACTATTTTTTAATTTCTGGAATTCTCTAATTTTTCTGTATTTTTTCTAGAATACATGTGATATATTTTGACGTTAGAGACAAAACGTTTTCCACTTTTTCGATACAATTTTTTAGTTATTATATGCTCCGCCCTTAGGTACTGGGAGGGATGCCCCTTGGACGTCTTTTTAAGGGAAATTGGCTCGTATGCACTTTGCAGATGGCAAAAACCACGAAAACGCCCATGCAGCCAGCCCGTTCACCGGGACTCGAACCCCGGACCGAACTGCCAGTGTTCAGCGGCTTTTACAGCTCGGCCGTTGGTGGGCTTTTTCAATACAATTAAGTTACATTATGCTATGTAATATTTATCATCTGAATGAGGTTCGCCAAAGTATCGAGATTAAATTTGTCATTTTACAAGGCATAACAGCATTCATTTATCAGCTACGCAGCCTGGCTTATCAGTTAAAATTAGGCATAAAAGCAACCTTAGATTAACGTAGATTTTGAATTTCTGCGAAACTGTATTCCCTCTGCATTTGCGCTGTGTTGAAAAGGAAAGTGAAACTGTATTTAATTTTTAAATGGAAGGCGGAGTACATGTATTGGCCGTGGTTGTGTTGTGAGGTTTGGGATGCTGATGTGGTTGCTGTAATAGAAGAGAGGCATTAGAAGCAATAGAAATTGACTGAAGTACGGAACTGTGGTACCGGCCAATTTCTATTAGGTAGCAATAAGTTGAATCATGGACTCAGTTCAGTTTCGGTAAGGAGAGGTATAAGATGAGCTTCTTTACTATTCAGCCAGGCCTTGTTACGTCACAAAAACTCATTTTTTTTTCCTAAATATTCTAACGTTTTGGCTTTATGCCAACTTGGCATAAAAACCGACCAATCACAGCGAAGCAAGCCCAAACTAAAATTCTGTCGACGGTTTCGTTCAGCTGATCATTTACATGCGCAATTTTATCTCTCCTGAAAGGCTACAGCTTAAACCCGGCAATACAGTGGGAACAGACTTCGTGATTTTTATGCTTTAAGCCTTATGACTGAAAAGCTTTAAAAGATGTTATAAAAATCGATTGATTAAGCCAAAAATCACAGGTGGTGAATTAAAACTACCAGCGTTTGACATAAACGACTATCGTAAAATCCAAAGCTTCTTTCTCGATAAAGGTGTTTCTTTTTATACATATATGCTACAGACTAATGGAACACGTCGGGTTATTATTAAAAATCTTTTTGGTTTTTGCAAAGAGTACGGTATATGTAATTAAATTTTAAATCTTTCTGTTTTTATCACAGCCTAATTTTACAAAAACGGGTCAGCTGCAGCATGCTTTTCTGATTGAGAAGTCATTTGGCCGCGTTTGACATCAAGTTCTCATTTACAAGCACACAAAAGTTCATTTACCTCCAAACTTTACAAAGACGATCTACAGTAATTTAAAATATCGGACATTTCAAGTTCGTACCGGCAATGCTCTTTCAACTAAAGATGCCATTAAGGCTGTAGTTGCGCCAAGGCTTCGTATTAAATCCTCGGCATATATATACTAACAAAATTTCCGGAGCCATTTAGGTGTAAAGTTCTTAGCAGGTTCCACTGTAGTGCTTTCCAAATGGTTACAGCCGAAAACATCGCGGCAAAAACATCGCAGACGAAAACGTCGTGGAGAAAACAACGCAAGGCGAAAACGTCGTGCTACAAAACATCGCAAAGAGAAAACATCGCAGTTCTAAAACATCGTGGTACAAAACATCGTCGTCGAAAATAAAGCGGTTCAAAAACTTCGCAGTTTAAAAACATCGTCGTCGAAAATATCGTGGTAAAAAATAAAGTATCTACAAATTATCGCATGACGATAACATCGCAAACATGCTTTTTTCGGGCTTTGATAACTATACATGGATATTCCGTAATGATTTGTGAGCACAAGATGGAAAGAAGGATAATTTGTACTTTCATATTTTTTATTAATAAATACATTTTTGCTGAGAAAATAAAAAGGAAACTTAAGCATAGAAAATTAATGCAACTTATAGCACTTAATAGAATTTTAAACCGACATAGCTAACTAACAAAGGCCATTAATAAATCATTTTTTATAAAGTTTTTACTGGTAATTTTTCATGAAAAGTATAATCTATAAGTAGCATTTAGTTTTCTATGCTTAAGTTTCCTTCTTACTTTTTCATCAAAAATTTATTAGTTAATAAAAAAATGTGAAAGTAAAAATTATCCTTCTTTACATCTTGCGCTCATAAATCATTATGGGAATATCCATTTACAATTATTAAAACCTGAAAAAAAAGCATAACTGCCATGTTATCGTCATGCGATGATTTGTAGATACTTTATTTTTTACCACGATATTTTCGACGACGATGTTTTTAAACTGCGAAGTTTTTGAACCGCTTTATTTTCGACGACGATGTTTTTAAACTGCGAAGTTTTTGAACCGCTTTATTTTCGACGACGATGTTTTGTACCACGATGTTTTAGAACTGCGATGTTTTCTCTTTGCGATGTTTTCTCCGACGATGTTTTGTAGCACGACGTTTTCGCCTTGCGTTGTTTTCTCCGCGACGTTTTCGTCCGCGATGTTTTTGCCACGATGTTATCGGTGGACACCTTCCAAATTCTGAATCTTCAGAATGTCATGCTAAATTTATAACGTTTAGCTAACATTATTTGTCTCTGGTGTTCGGTCGGGAAAATCAAGTTAAATGCAAAACAAATGTAATGGTCTTATATTCAGAAAATATTATAAAAATCGATTGATTGAGCCAAAATTGCCATTCATAGAATAGCTCTTACAGCAGTTCAGTCATTATGCGTGTGTTATATCTGAAGAATAGCTTACGTTTAAGGACTAAGTAATTTATACCGTCAATACACCCAGTGCAGCTTTTACGGTTATTTACTGTCATTTCGGAAGAAAAATTCAAACTGCGCCTACGTGTCTAGCGGAATCTTTATGTAACTCTCATCCGGCCTATTCTCATTTACGCCATTCTGGCTTAGGAGCTTGCCCCCAAAACTTTTGCAAAAAATTCTTACACACCATAGACCAGAGTCGCGGGTCGCGGACCTGCAGCAGGGATTCGCCAAAAATTTTGATATTCCTTTAACTTATTATAATAATTTTACAATTACCAAATATTTTTACACAATGTATCTGAAAATAGATAAAGACAATACAGACAAAGAAAAATTGAAAACGTTTCGACGCATTCTTTTTATAGTATAAACGTTCATTTTACTTGCTTTTCACATGACTCTGTCATTTCATCTGTTAGTTATTTAAAATTTTCACATTGCACTATGTGTTTGACAGTTTCACTCACGCGTGTGTCGAATTTGTGCAATGCTTATTGGGTCCCACAAAATTTTTGTAAATATTATGAGGTCCTGTGGCCACGAAAAAAATATCAGTGATGAAAAGGGGTTGCAACTGAAAACGTTTAAGAAGCTCTGCCATAGAAAACGGTGCTTGGTTTCCAAGAAATTCTGTTATTCACCGGGACATCGGCATATCACGCATGCATAATTATATTTTGATGTATTCGCCTCACGTCTTTGGCAGTATAGCCATCTCCTTCTGAGCTGAAGCCCACCAGCGGCCGAGCGGTAAACACGCTGAACACTGGTAGTTCGGTCCGAGGTTCGAATCCCGCGAACGGGCTGGCTGCATGGGCGTTTTCGTGTTTTCCCCATGTGTAACGTGTATACGAGCCAGTTTCCCTTAGAAAGTCCTCCACGAAAGGCATCCCTCCCCTTAGGCAGATAGCCCTAGTGTGCTTTGCCATAATTAAATACACCACACCACACCTTCTGACCCGAAATCGTAGCAATTACTAATTATGATTTTACAACTGACTGTATTGTAAAGATACAAGTTATTCAGATACCAGTTATACAGAGGCTGTTCGCACATTTTTTAGACGATTTTGGTAAGCGGTAATAAAAAATCGTTTGCTGCAAAAGATGTAATTGCAATTGTACTATGTTTTTAAAAGTCAAAATTATCGTCTGCGGCTCGAAAGTTTTGTTTTTATTCAAAATGGCGAATTTAACAAAGCAGTGGTTCGAAGACTACATTTACGCTCTTTCCGAAGAGAAATATGCATACTCCGTTATCCAAAAACGATGTGAGAGTCGTAGTTTTGTGATATCTAAAGCGTCGATAGGTAATATCATCAACAAGAAAGGAAAAAAACGTCAAATTGGAGCCTCAAGGGGGACAAAAATTCCAAACAAGTATCCAAGGAAAAAAACGGACATCTTCAACTATCGCAAAGGTATGTTGCTTAATGTTAAAAGAAAATCCCCCTAGTCAAAGGACAGTTGCAAAATCATTAAAATGGTCGGTGTTCACTGTAAACAAAATGATAAACGTTGATTTAAATCTTAAGAAAGCGAAAAAACGCAATTTGCATCGTCTCCTTCCAAAGCATATCTCTCAACGCAGGACACGCTACAGAATTCTACAATATGAGAAACACTTATCCAAAGAAAAATGGAAAACAATTGTCACAATAGATGAAGCATGGGTGTATTTAAATGATTGTAAAAAAAAAGAGCCATTTATTATCATAAAGGGGAGAAAAAAATTTAAGTACATGGTTCAAAGAATCGAAAGAAAGTTTTTCTAAAATATTCATGATTGTTGCTGGTTTTTATTAGAACGGCAAGTTAAAAATAAAGAGAGTGCAAAAAAATGTCAAGATTAACTCCAAATACTATCAGGAATATATTTTATCGCCAATTTTTCTGAATAAAATACCATCGCTTTATCCACAGTGCCATCAATCTGTGAGACTCCATCAGGACAAAGCTAGCAGTCACACATCAAAATCCACTGTAAATTTCCTAAAAGAAATAGAACAAAAAACTGGTATCAAGGCCATAACCCTTCACTGATATCCCTACTAAATCTCCCTATGTGTCACCTATGGATTTTTGTGCTTTCAGACTTT